TATTTTGTGCGTCCCTTAGCAAGATGTGTCCTGAGGTATCAGAAAAGCCTGAGTGTGAGTCTTATTTTCTGAGTCTGGGAATGCTCAAAATGTTTTCCATATAAATTAATGGTAATTGCTTCTTTGCTTTACACCATTTCATGTTACAGGTTTCATAGGAATGCTCTACTTTCAGATAGTGGGGGAAATCTGTACGTATAGTGAAGATAAATATATAAAAAGGATAAAAGAATGACAGAATGATGGGAGGGGAAGGGAGTGGGATGGGGATGGACCACAGATTTCAGTTATTGCCAAGGTCTTCACTTTCGTGTGATGAGTTTTGAGGACAGTGTTCTAAATAAATAAATGTGTCTTGTGCATGAAGAAATGAAAAGAATGTGTCATGAACCAAAGTCATGATTGATCTAACTCTGTGCATCTGACATTTTTAAAGGAAAAGGGGAGAAATTATGCTTACCTTCTCCAGACAGACTTACTTGTTTGGGAGCAATGGGGAAAAGATTCTTCTACCTCAATCCTCTCTGTGGGGTCTTTTCTCCAGAGACAGTCTCTAGGTTCTCCTCCTGCAGAAGTGAGCCGGTGGGGCAGCAGGGAGGGGAGTAATCCAGGGTTTGGCTACTTCAGGAAAAGGGTCCCGGAATTGGTGGGAAAATGGACCATTCCCAAGGCTGGAGTAGGAACCTAGAGATGTGGGGCAGCTTCCATTCCTATCCAGCTTCCCCCACTCCCCAGTCTAAGAACTGCAGGTGAGTAGGCTTCCACTCATTTCCTGTTCTGCTTTGTCAAAGACCTCAGGGTGGGGTTGGGAGGTGGGGAGGAGCCTCAGAATTGAGTCCTGAGAGATGAGGCTGTGGCCACATGGTAGAGAGTTGTAAATATTCTGGATACTGGGGAGCTGGGACCATCAGTGGTCAAACCCAGCATCTTTGAAGTTCAGCTTGGAACTAGGGGGCTGCTGAATCAAAACTTCTTACATATCCCTTTCCTTTCAGCCTGGCCCAGAACACTCCTGGGCCATTCTCAGCACTTTTTGTAATTCCTTTGCCTGCTTTCCCTGCTCATCCCTTCTTCATCCAGGCTGTAGTTCCAATCCTGTACCCTCACCTGAACTTCTACAGTCCCTAAGATAAGGCCCTATTTTGTGAAATAAAGGTTAGGGAAGGCCCTAGGGGAACAGTTTAAGAGCTTTTCACTTTATGGGAAGGGATCTGGGGTTAGATGGAACCAGACAGGGCTGGCTGGGCTGGAATCTTACCTTTGGGGAAGGGGTTAGAGGTCAGGCTGGACTGGGCTAAGAGTATAAAAGAGGTACTGGAGATTGTGCTGGAACTCCTAACAAAGGGGCTGGAGGTCAGGTTGGATTGAGTTAGAATAGGAAACATGGGGAGGAAGCTGGGCTCAGGCTGAGCTAGGGGGTCTCAGGGTTGAGGGCCTGTGTCTGCATTGGGGCTGGCTGGAGTACACAGTTGGGCTGAAACAAATTTTTCAGGATCATGCTGGGACCTGAGGCTGGGCCTTAAAGGGCCTTTTCCTTCCCCAACCCTAGCAATTCCTCCAGACCAAGGTCTTCCCCAGAGGGGCTGCTGAGGCAAACAGGGAGGAGCCAGATCTGGGGCTCCAGAGGAAGTCGCTGGCCACTATGCTTCCTGAGTTTAAAAAGTGGGTTCCCTGTCTCTCTGACTCACTCCCTTCCCTCAAGCAGGGCAGAGTCCAGGCCTGACAATCTACCTTTTCGCTAGAACACTGCCTCTTCCAAAACACAAACACCCACACACCCACACACCCACACACGCCACACATACAGGATATGAACCTTGTCACACAATTCCTGGCCCAGCAACCCCATAACCCAACACAATACCGCCAAGCCACACATTCAACAACATATTCTTATTTATGTACTTGTAGCCTCTCATTCACACCCAGTAGTCACGCCTTTCTGCTTTGTTCAGCACCATCTCTCTAGTACCTAAAGTTTGGCCTTGCACCTAGAGAAGGCTCAATGAACATTAGCTGAATTAATGAATCCACCAAGACACATCCCACAAACAAATGCATAGATAAGCCGACATACATATTCACACATGCAATGCTTCCTTACACACCCATATCCAAGCCCTCTCCCAGCCCAGTCACATACATACCCTGGCACACACTCAGGCAAGAAAGCCAGATGTACACCTAGTTACAAAAGCAGACACACCACAGGTAGGTGTTACCTAGCACTCCCAGGTAAGTTGGTGGTAGCAGCTGGCTGGTCAATGTCCTTCCATCAGGTCAGGCCTGCAGAGGAGTGAAGTGGGCATGTGCACAAATGCAAGCCTTTGGGGTCCTAAGGCAATGGGCAATGAGGAGCTGGGCTGGCAGGGCCAAGGTAACCATATGGATTGGAGAGGGGTGGAATGGGCCATGTAGTCCTTTCCTCTGGTTTCTTCCTGCCAGCTGGGGAGGTGAGGGTAGAGGTACACATCTATGAGGACTTGCTTCAAATCCAGAGAATTTAGTGGGGGAATAGTCTGAAAGGCCCGATTACCCTCCCTGGAATGAAAATGGGAGTCTGGATAGGGGGATTTGGTAGGTGCTAAGATTCCGTCCCCAATCCACAGCAGGGTTTCCCTATCTTGCCAATCTTCTTTAATGGTGGGAGAGGAGGGGACTTGGGGCCGGGGGGAGTAAACACCTGGAAAGGAATCTGGAAAGCACCCTATTCTTCCTTCCACCTAAGGAACTTTAGGCATCCTCCTGTGTCCCCACCCAAAGTCAGCAAGGGTACAATCAATCAAGCTACTCTTACTTCCCCACCCAAGACCTAACACCAGGGAATCCTAGTTCAGACAGCTCAGCTGGGCTGGGCCCGATAGGAGCAGGAGGCTGGAGGCTGGATAGGGGCAGGAATCTATCAAAAATAGGACCAAGTCTCCCAGTCATTCTAACCACCCAAAGCTCCTCAAACCCAAGCGCCCTCCTCCGCAAGGATCCCTCCCCCTCCAAAAGCCTGATCCAAGGCCTTCTGTCCCAGGAACCCTGCCTCAGGGCCACCTGTCTGGCAGCCAGGACAGCTAGGGGCAAGGAACAACAGCCCCAGAGGGTGGAAAAGTCAACTTTTGAGGGAGACAGGGCCAGCCTGGGACAGGAGGAGCAACGGTGGAAGAGTGAGGGGCATTGTGAGATGAGACTGAAGGGGGATCCACAAGCTTAATTCCTACCTCCTTTCCAATGACTGGTCTTAGGGACCAGTCATTGTCCCTAAGGGACTGCATGAAGGAGGGAGAAAAGACTGCCTGGAACTTAGTGGTTATTAGGCAGCAATGACCAACCAAGACACTCTCAAACCAAAAAGTCTCTTTATTGATCGGTACCATACATGACTCAAATGGCCCAAAAAAAAAAAAAAAAAAAAAAAAAAAAAAAAAAAAAAAAAAAAAAAAAAAAAAAAAAAAAAGGCATTACATTTGGGGTGGGACATCCATCTTCCCCACCCCACCCCTCAGCTCCTGACACAATACCCTTCCAACAGTGGCAGCTGGAGTTAAGGAAACTGGGTGTGGGGGACCCGAGAATCCAGAAGGAAGAGTGGGGAGAGAGGTGGTGCTAACACTTCTGGAACTGGCCACAGGAAAAGGCAGCGAAGCCACAGAGCTGGGCCCAGACCTACGGGACCCTGCTCCTGGCCTCACCCTGGGCCCAGAGCATCCATGTGTCCAACTGTGAAATAGAGCTGAGGATCCTGGCTGCTTCCCCACTCCCTTCTATGAGGAAAGGGATGGAAGGGATATTGGAGATGAAGACCTTTACTTCAGCTGGGGGACACAGGTCTATTGCTCCCAGGTGGGCTTAGAGCTGGGCCATCCTCAGTGGCTCCTTCCCCTCTGTGGAGGACAGGGGAGGACCAGATACACAGTTTGAGGAGTTGGGGAAAGAGAGTGCTGGAGAGAGTGGACGAGCCCCTCCCCCTCCATCCCATGCCTGCCCAACTGAGACAAAACAAAAAAACAGCAACAAACAAGGTTGCTCCCTTCCCTCCACACTTCCTAAGGGAGGGAGCCTCCCTTCCCCCCATCCAAGACAGCTGCTCTAGTGGAGGACTTGTAAAGAATATACACACCATGGGGGAGGGGGTTGGGGCTGGGAGGGAGTCACAAGCACTAGGAGGGCAGGCCAGAGTCCTGGAGGATGGGAAGACAGAGACAACAGCAGGGGGTTGTCACAAAGGTGAGGCCATCAACGGCCCCCTACCCCAAGGCATGCCTTCCCCAACTCCAGTCACCCAGAGGAAAAGGGAAGAGAGATGGCAAAGTATCTCCTTGGTCTGAAGCTCTCAAACTGTATAAAATGTTAATGCATACCCCCCCCCCACACCCCACACTCACCTCCACGTGGGCCCTAAGCCCCGGATTTGCCTGGAGTAGGGAGGTAGCTGGACTTTTAATAAGGGGAAGAGGGGGTACATGTGTGACTTTTTTTTTTAAACTTACATTTTTAATAATATTATTTTTTAAAAAACTTGGGAGCTGGGATAGGTGGCTGCAGGGAGGAGCCAGAGGTTTACCCCTCTACTACCAGCCACCTAGGGGAAGGTTTAGGAAAGGGGCACTCAACCAAGCCCCATAATTTTAAGTCCCTAAGGGCTGTGGAATAGACAACCCCAGGCTTGAAGGGGGTGAAGTCAGGAGGATTGGGAACCCAGAACCTGGGGTGAGGATGGATGCAAATGCCCTGGGGGGTGATCAGGACATTTCTCAGAGGCCCAGGGTCCATGTAGGCATCCACATGAGTACCCCCTTCCCCCAAAAAGGCTCTGCAGAGGCCAGGCCCCGCCCAGGGCCACTGGGGGGCAAATCTTGGCACCTGCCCCCAGCGAGTCCAGTTCCTCCCTGAAGTGGGTGGATGGAGGCTGCCCATTTTAGATGCTCAGTCTCTTCATTCTGTCTTCTGCTCCCTGGGGCTGCGAGGGGTGGGGCAGGCAGGCAGAGCGCTGGGTGGCCATGGAAAGGCCTTTACTGGGAGGCCTGTGACGTGGGGTTCTCCGATTTGCTTTCTTGGCTGGATGGAGGCTTGCTGTTCCAGGGGCTGTTGGCGCCCAGGGCGGGGGAGTTGTTAAAGCTGTCCTCGTCGTCAATGCCGTTGGCCGCGTCAAACTGGGTGTTCTCCAGCCGGGTGATGAGCCTCTCGTCCTCGTCCCCGAACTCCCCGCCCATCAGGGTGGGCTCCCCCACCACCATCACATCCTGAGAGTGGCGGAGGTCCCCAAACATAATCGGGGCAGGGGCTCGCCCGGCCCAGGGCAGCAGATACCCCCAGAGCCCCAATACCCACCCAGGAAACTCAACACCCCCAACCCCTTCTCATACCCAAGTTTAAAACCCCAAATCCTCTGACACCCTCAGCCCCTGGAATCCTTCCCACTGAAGGACTGCAGAGCATCACAGGCTTTGACCCACACGTACTAGATTCTAGAAGTCAATCTACTCCCCTAGCTCCCTAGTTCCTCTCCCCCAAACTTCAGGGGGCTCCTAAACTTCTGTCCACATATAATAGGGAGGGAGCAGATTAAAAGAAAAAAAAAAAAGAAAAACACCAATGGGGAAAGCGTGTGCATGTACATATGTGTATTCTAGATTCGCACACGTTCAAATTTATGTGTCCCTCTGTCAGTGTGAGTGTGTGGGTCTCTGATGGTATGTGTGCCCCTAAGCTGTCTATCCTGAACACCCAAATGGTCTCATGGCTGTCTGTGAACCTTTATGTCCTATGTTCTGTCTGAGTCTGTGATCACAACCATGGCATTTGACTGACAAGGACTCTCATCAGTGACAGGAGCCAGCTCATGCTGGCACATTACACCAGGAAAAACTGTTTTTGCTTCTATGCCTGCTAGTGAGCTCAGGCTGGGACAGGGTCAAGGGTCAGGGGTCAGCAGTAGGGCAGCCCAGAAGAGAGAAGAAAGCCGAGATGCTTACAGGTACCTGGCTGGAGAGGGCGAAGGTGCTGGCTGGGCTTTTCTTCTTGCTGTTGCTGTTGTTGGTGTTGCCACCCCCCGAGCTCATGGTGCTGCCCCCTGACATCTTTCGTTTCCGCCGTTTGCTGGGCTGCTGCCGCGCGGGCTCCGCTGTGCCAAGGAAAAGGAGACTCAGGAAGGGCAAGGCCCTGGGTCCCTTGTTCCCCATTCTGGCTCCTAAGGAGCCTGAGCCTACCCTGATCCCAATCTTGCAGACCCAGGAGTGAGAAAGGGGCTTCATGAGGAGACAGAGAGAGAGCGTTGGGGAGCTTCATCAGATCCTGGTTAGAACAGGTGCAGGTGCAAGGCACTCACCGGGGGGTGCTACCATGCGCTGCCACTTCTGGAAAAGGCAGGTCTTGAGGCAGTCACGGGGGCTGAGGCTGTAGGTCTTGTGGCGGGACATGAGCTCCTGCATGGGCTCGAGTATCACACAGAGCTGGGGGGAGATGAGGAGGTGGCTTGTCAGGAGAGAGACATGGAGCTGACTCCAAATGGGATGGGGCAGAAACTGGGTGATCAAGGACTCACTCGGAGGTAGTTGAGAGTGGAATTGGACAACCCACACCGGGTGATATTTTTGGAGAGCTGATCCAACATCTGGGGGTCCTGGGCCTAGATGGGGAGAAAAAGACTAGAACCTGGGTTGCATCTGCTCACCTGCCCTATCACTGAGCCTCATGACACTCCAGAGAGAGAAGAGGGGCTGTTATGAAACCCATTTTTCAGATGGAGATACTCTAACCCTCTGTCTGAGGTCACTGTCAGGAAATGGCAGACCTTATTCCATCCATTCTTCCCACTGCCTGCCCTCACCCTTGCATTTTGGGTCCTGCCCACAACTCACATGCATGGCAAGGATGCTGCGGGGGATGAGCTCTCGGTGCTGCCGGATGCTGAAGTGCCACGTCTTTATCCGCATCATGTCGTCAAACATGAACTCTAGGTACAACCGGCCCTCCACACACACCTGGAGACAAGCTTGTCACATCTCTGCCCTCTCCCCACGTGCCTGAAAATATACCTGCTCTCCCGTTTGCTCACAACTCTCCCACTGAACACACTTCTGCCACTTGCACATAAATCTGGGTGCATAACTGACAAAGACCATTCCCTCATCCACCTGTCACACCCCTGGCCCTTACACACATACACACACAAAGTGGAAATGCTTTAACAGACCCTTGTCCTCTTCCCAAGTAGCTAGTGATACACTCATCTGCTATAAACTCTATGAGGGCAGGCTCTCATTCACTGGTGTGCCCCTACAGCCCAGAAAACTGTCATGTACAAACTTAGTACGCATCTGATGGATGTTGCACCATGCCTGCCCCTCCCTTCTGGTCTTGCCACTTCCCCTTTTGCCTCCCTAGGGAACAGCTCAGTACATTTTGGGAGAAAGGAGGGGAATCAAACCCAGGTGCTTCAGTATTCCACATCCAGCTGGGTTGCTGACCTGGGTGAACATGGGTTTGCCATGCTGCGTCACCATGCTGCCTTGGTCACAGTCAAGGGACACAAAGTTGCTGTGGAATGCCTCCTTGGGGTGCTTAAGCACATAGTACAGTTCCGTAGCACCCCCTTCAAAGATGCTGCGGAAATAGCGTGGGATCAAGGTCCGGCCAATGGCTGTAGAGATGGGACAAACTCATTAGAACAGAAGGACTTGTAAGAGGGTCAGGCAGATGCCATAACCGCCAAGACAGATCCCCGGAGACAAATACCTACTCCCAGTCCTTAGAAGGACATAGGAAGTATATGCTCTCATAGCAGAACCAGCAGGACCCCCAAAGGCCACTCACTGTATCTCTTTGGTCCATCCTCCAGGCAGAAAGTGATGGTTAACATGGCATCATCCTCAAAGAACTCAGTTGTGAAAGCATCCCACCAGAGATTGTCACACTCCTAAGGAGCACAGGGAAAGGTGTTTGTGTGTGTATGTCAGAAGACATCCCAGGGGTTCCCAGATGGCCCTCCCCCTTCCCAGCCGCTTTCCCCTTGCCATACCTCTGTCCAGTTTTGAAGCCGTTTGTTAAGCTCGAATATTCTGTAGTCAGTTTGGTTGCCATATGGTGTGTGCCTCCTGGGAAAAGTGAAGAAGGGAGGTCAATAGAAAGAGGGTCTCCCCACTCCACCCCACCCCCACTTCTGCCTTCCCCCATGTAATGGAAAGCACCTCCCTCCTCACTGGACTCCACTTACCCAATCCCGGGCTCCAGATACGTAGGCGGGTACATGGGAGTTGGGCTGTGTAAGGGAAGAGGCTATGAGAATGGGAGTGGAAGACAGGAATTATTGGGGGTGTCACTCCCTCCCCCTTTCAGGCAGGATCCCATCTGGAGAAGGGATGGGAAGTAGATAAGACTCACCCCACATCCCGATCTAGCATGGTGCCGGGATGGAAAGGAGGGAAGGCGTTGCCGTTCGGGGGCTCCTTCGGCGAGTACAGCTTGAATGACTTTGAGGAACAACCTAGAAGGGAAAAAGAGAAGTGGTGCCCTGAGTCCCAGGGAGCTTTCCTGGAAGTCTACTAGATTGTGTGGAAAGGGACTGGTCTTCCAGAGCACCCAGAGTGGGTGGACTAGGGGAGGGGGACTACCCTATGGAACACCTACCTCTGCTGCTAAATCTGCCTCCAATTTTATTTTATTATGAAACTAGAAGTACTCAGCCCTAATACCCAAGACCCCATTTCTTCATGTGCTGAGCCCTGGATGATAGAATTGAAGCAGCAAAGAAATGTCAACACCATAGAATAAATGAATATCCAAACATTACAATTTAATTTTGATAAATTCCCTTTACATCCACCTAGTATTGTTCACTCATCACAACAACCTTGTGAGGTAGCAGGGTCAACTATAAAATCCCCATTTTACAGATGAGGCAACGGAAAGCTCGAGGGGACTTGCCAAGATCACAGAGGTAGCAATTGGCAGAGCTAGGACTTGAGCCCAGATCTGATTCCCATATCCTATAGTATTTCCACCCCTCTAATGCCCTCTGGAGACCAAGCTTGGGGAACGGAACCGGAACCGGGATTTTGCCAACTCCCTGCCCCTCCTCCACCCCCAGGGTCTCAGGAGGGCAGGGGATAGAAAGATAAAGGGGAGTGGGTGCCTGCTGGGTGCCTCCCACCAGATAACCAGTTGGGCCTTCTGCCTCCCCCACCAACGGCCACTCCCTTATCAGCCCAGCCCCCTCCCCCACAGCTACCATGGGTCTAGTATTGTCTCCAAACCAGAAACCCAAAGCCTCAACCTCCTCTCACTTCTGAGACTTGCAGTGGGGGAGGGAGATAGACAGGCCTCCAATGGATTCCACTCTACTTACAAACCTAGGTCTCGGAAGGAGGAAATCTAGGCTCCAGGGGGATTAGTCTAGGAGGCAAGTGGTAACTAGACAGGGGTCTCTGCTCACGTGTCTCTGTGTATGTGCACATGTGTCACCTCTCCACCTCAATGAGCAGCACACTGTTCCTGGTATACTATTTCCTGACTAGAAGTATTACATTCATAGTTGGGTACGAGCCAGGCACCCCTACAATTCTATCTTCCCCCTCCCAACCAGATAGGAAGGGAAACTGAGACACAGCACCAAAGGTTCTAAACCCAGTCATAGGTGCTTCCTAGCCACCCCAAAACTTGTTTGCATTTGGAAGGGCAGCCATATTGGCCGTATCTAAGCCCCCTCCCCAAATTAAATACAAACTCTATTTTGTTCCTTAGGGGAAAGAGACAAAGGAAGACCCTGTGCCAACACACATCATTTAATTATCTCTCCAGGGCCCCCTCCTCACAATATGGGCAAACGGAGGGTCCCAGAGGGGCTTACGCTACACAGTTCCTGAAGGTGCCAAGACTCAAAGCTTGTGTGTGCCTGCACACGCGTGTGCCTCATCCTGCCTAGCAGGCTTCCACCCTCAGCTCGTTCCAACATGCCTACCAAGAGCTGGAACCCAGCAGCTCCAGGCAGGACCAGGGTGGCTGCAACAGGCCCTTGCCCCGTTTCATGCTCTCTCGCAGGCCACATCCACATGCTCCCAGCACAGCACACACAACCTTCACATGCCAGTTTGGACTGAATGAGGAGCCTGTATCCTTAGGAAAGAGACAGTGCCACCCAGCTCCAAGTCTCCCCACTCCACAGACAGGTATACTAAGGCCACATAGGAAGCCCAAACTCCCAAAGTCTACCAGAGGCTGGGTCTAGTCAATGAACCCAAGAGTCTAGATTACCAGACCTTGCCCTTACCCCCTAAGGAAGCCATCCTTTCCCTAAAGGCATCACTGGCCCTGCCCCACAGTCTCAGGGCTATCTGAAGAAATCTGTCAGCTCAGGACCCTCAGAAGGGAGGAAGCACACCTGGGTTCCTCTCTGATTCTGAAAAAATTTCAGAGCTTCAATTTCTCTCACCAGAGACCTGACAAACATTGCCTGGGGCTGGGGAACAGCTCTGAAGAGCTAAAGCCTGAAGCTCTGAGGCCTCTATTTATACCTCCAGTGAATGGACACAAACTCAGCATCTCTCCAGAGCCATAGCAACTCCCAGTAGCCCCAGCACAAGGGCTTGGGAGTGAGAAGAGAAGGGGAGGGAACATCACCCAGACCATCTGTCCCTGTTACTGCCTGTCCCCAGCAACAGGGGTAGAGAGAGCAAGGTGGGGGTGGGGGTGAAGGGGATGTGTCATCAGCCTCGGAGTCACACATACACCCCCCCCCATCCCCAAGCAATCTGGGAGCCCTTAGGAGGAGGGAGAAGAGAGGAAGAGCCCAGAACTAGTAAAGTTTCTCAGGATGGAAGCTGCATCCTGGGGCTGAGGGGGGCACCTCCAGCTGAGCATTTCCATGGTAACCAGCCTGACCTGAGGGCAGGCCCCCTTCCTTTGGGGGCTGACCATAGGTCAGCAAGCCTGAGAGCCCTGGCCTCTCTGAGCTGGGGCACCTCTGCCCCAGCTAGCATACCAGGCCTGGGCCAGACCCAGGATCTTCCGCCCACCCCCAACAGGCTTGCACGGTGCCCAGACTTACCTGGGAGAACTGAGGGGGCCAAGAGAGGTGCGGGGAGCGGCTGGAAGCCCAGCGGAGCCCTGGCAGGGGTGAGGGCTGAGGGGGCCAACTTCAGCCGCTCATGTCCCAAGTGGGACAGGCAGGCCTGGCTGAGAGCTCCACTCCGCGGGCCGCACAAAGACTCGCACACACAGCCTCGGCCCGCCCCGCGGCGGCCACAGCCCCGGGGGAAAGTTACAATGGCCACTGGGCCGGGGGCTAGGGGCCAGGGGGCCGGCCTGGGGGGCGGGGGGCCGCGGGGAGTCCGGAGCCTTCTTTGTTTGCAAGGTTTCCCTCAACAATGGCTGCTCCGCTCTTTCCTCTCTCCTCCTCCTCCTCTTCGGCTCTCCCCGCCGCCGCCTCTCGCTGCCTCTGCCTCCAAGCAGCCCGCCCGCCCTCCCCAGGCCACCAGGCCCCTCCGCCAGGGCACCAGGAGAGACAGGGCCCAGCACTCACACTCACTCACACTTGCACACGCACAGACACACGCAGCGCCCGCCGGCTCCCTGCCTTTTCTCCCTTTCTAGCCCTCCCTCCCCGCTCGCTCTCCGCTCTCCGAGCCTCTCTCAGAATGAGGCCCCAGGGCGGGCGGAGGGTGGAGCTGCCCCCACTGGCCCCGCCCCCTCCCTGCGAGGAAAGAGGAAGAGGGAGAGAGAGAGGGAGGGAGGGAGAGACGGAGGCAGGCAGGGAGGACTGCTGAGAAAAACAAAAGAGAGACAGAGACCGAGAGAGATGGGAGGGAGAGATGGAGACAGAACAGATTGGGCCTGGGGAGAGACCTGGATGGAGGGGAGGTGTGTGGGGCCAGGAATTGAAATGCCCCCATCCCAGCCCCAAGCTTGGTGCTCAGGGGTGAGCAGGAGGGCTGGAGCCACTGACAGGGATGGAGAGGAGTGCTCTCTTCCCTGGAGACTCCCAGTATCTTCAAACTGCTTCCCCAATGTCCCCTAAATCTCTCTTCCTCTCCCCTGTGATCTCTGGGGTTGAAGGTTGGCCTGAGCTGCCACCCTGGGCTTCAGCCCCTGGTGAAATCCCAGAGCAGCTGGGGGAAACCTCCAAGGGGTTATTTTTGACAGAGCCACACTCTGCTTCAACCTGTAAACAGTGATTGCAGGGAGGGGGGCACTCCAAGCTCCCTGCCCTCAACCCAGCTAAGTTCCTAGCCCCCTTCCCTAACCCCCACCATAAGAGTCGGGTGGGTGCAGGGGAAAGAGGCACTGTCAGAACTGGGGAAGGCAAATTTGCCCATCCAAGGGTCCCCAGAAAGGGCCTCGTCTGCTGCTGAATCCTCCCATCATCCCAGGGAAAAAAAAAGGTATGTGGTTACTGAAGTAAAGCATGTTCTCCAATGCAAGGGGGGGAATTCCCAAGAGAGGAGGTGTTTCCAAAACTTGGGTAGTGGTCCAGGTCTACTACCCGGACACATAGGAAAAAGGAAACACACACACACCCCACAGCACACAACACACGAGGGGGTGCAGCCATACAGCCTTCCTACTTCTTTGCAATTTGAGTCTCTGTTCCCTATGCCCCACCTTGCCGCGCCAACCACATTCACACAGCCCCATGACAAGGTTTCTCATGATAGACACACTGGTTGTGCAATAATATTGCATCTGGCTCTGTGAACATTCTCCTCACGTAAAAAACTCATTTTACTTTTACATAAATCAGTCCCTAATACACACTTCAACCTGCGATATACCTCAAATGCAAGATAAACCCAAACCCAGGACACACACATAGCCTATGACATACTTTGGCTTCTTTACACACTGGGACCTGTAACACATGCCCTTGGACCCCAATACACACACCCAAACTGCATTATACCTCCAGAACCTGTGACAGACTATTATGTGCACACCCTGGCCATTTGTTACCCAGAGACTTAACCCCATAAACCACCCTCCCTGAAACCTGCACACCATTCTCCACCACAGTCTAGCCATATGATATGCTCCAGCTTTCACAAACATACTGAAATCTATAACATTCAGCCAGACCCTGCAACATTCTGCCCAGAATTGAAACCACCAGGAACTGAAATATTCCACTGAGTCCCAAATTAACAGCACAACTCTAGGATGACTACACTTATCTTCCACTTACGGGACAATTCCTGTCGTTTGTTTCATGCCTTTAAACTTTCCAAAGTTCATTCGTAGGCCATACCTCAAGAGATTCTTACTGAATACAGGGCCAAATATTATGCTCACTCGAACAGATTATAGTGAGACAGGAGGGCCTGAGCTGGAACCCTGGACTTCTAACCCCACTCATACAAGCCCAGCCCTGGGGCACTGCAACCATTCCTACTCCCTTCCCCCTCCAAGGAATGGCCACTCCAGGCCCCAAATGACTGTCTACACGGGAAAGAGGGATGGGCGTGTGCTCGGGCTTCTGCCCCCAGTC